GGGGGGGGGGGGGGGGGGCTCACATTTCAATCACGTAGTGGTCACCGAGGGAAGGGAGGGGTCGAAAAAACTAGGTTACATAGAATGGGTATGTTCCCTAATATTAATTATAAGGATAAGTTATATAACAAAAATAGTATGAAAAAATACTTTTATAGACCATGACAAAAGGGAATATTACCTAAATCAATAAGATCGTTGACGGCCAATCGTATTGCCTTGTCTGTGGGAGGCTCCGGCAACAGAGATAAAAATGTCGCCACTTTCTCTTGCGGTGCGTATATTTTACAATTTAATACTGTTTGTTCTAAAGGTATTCTGTAATTAATAAGAATATATAAAACTACTTCTTCCCCGCGAATATGTCTCGGCAGAATTAAAAACACTTAATAAGTAGCTTATGTGTTCTTCCAGACTATGTTCATCAAGTTCCATGAAGCTGCATTGGAGATACCTTCTAACAAACCATCTAAACATTTGCATTTAGTAATTTTAATAAAGAAAATCTAGTAATAATTTAGTCAAGCTCACTCAGTGTTAATAAAGTTTTTTTCATAATAAAAGAAGTTTTGAAATCTGTCTAATAGTTTTTGAGTTTATTAGTTACATACAAAAATACAAATCTATCCTCTATCTAACTAAATGCGAATGTTTGGATGGATGGATGTTTGTTAGAATGCATGTCCAGAATGCCTGCATGAATCTAGCTGAAATTTGGCATATAGAACATAGTATGGAAGAACAAATAAGCTACTTGTTAAGTTTTTTAATTCTGTGCGAACGAAGTCGCGGGTGACAGCAAGTATTATTAATATTTAAGTGTAGACATTAAGGGCAAGAGAACTATTAAAGTGAATAACTGCTGTAATAATATAACGAACTTTTAGACATTAGTTAGAATCTTTTAACGCGAATGGCGCGCTTTCGTTACCAAGTTAAATGACAGAATGATTAGTGAGGGGACATAAACGTTGACATTTTAGTTTTTTTTTTATATCATAAAGTTCAAACGAGCGAGCGGTCACCTGAAATCACTGAAATCCTCTCATCCGGAAAGTCCACTTCCACTTTCCTTATAAGAAAAAGGATGGGAAGGGAAAGAGAACTAAATGAGGCCTCCGGGACACACACTCATCAGACTAGACAGACAGGTATTTCACCGGGCGAGCCGGGACATTTCGTGCGAAGATGTTAAAGCTCTATCACTGTTAAAGTAAGGCTAGTGATGCGATACACCGGCACTGTGTCGGATTTTCTATCTAACAGAAAATACAGATATAATCACAAAAGACTACTATCAGTCTGGCAAATACATACCTCAATATCTCAGGCGTTGTGTGCTGTGCAAAACTTTCCTCTCTAACTTTAGTATACAACCTAAAACAATGTCCTGGAAAGTTTTAATATTAAAACATGAAAAAAAGTTTTTCTTTTAACCTTAACCCTAATGCTATGACGTAATTTGCCTAGGCAGATTGTAAAACGTCTGAAAACCTAACACATACAAGTTACTTTATTTCGTAATCGTATTAATTTTTGTGCTGATTGATATAGAGATGCCGTTCTTTACAATTTGCCTAGGTAAATTACAAACGGATGATGTTCAATTACCTGGCTGTACCCTTCCAGCTCGGCCAGTCCTCTGTTTAGCGCCCGCTTGTGAAACCCATACTGTCTCCAAGCTAGCAGTTCCTAAGAAGCAACAAGAGTTTGATATTAAAAACCTACAATAAACTTACAACTAAAGTCCTTTGTACACAAAGCAACCTAAATCGTCAAGACTAATAATGTACAGTGGCGTCGGGAGATTTGCGTTGCACGCGACACACAATAATGAATCGTCATAAAGATGTGCACCGCCATCTTGAAAATCGCAGCGACATTTCTTACGATGACCTTGACAAACAGGTTACGCATACTATCTTGCGATGATAAATAGAAATTTTGGCTACTCGCGTTTTGTACGAACCTATGAAATTGTGTTACATAAGTCGCTTAGCGACTGAACGAACTGGATTTCACAGACTAAGTTGCTTTGTATAGAAAGAGATTAAGAGATCATCACAACCAAATCTGATAAATAATCAAACGTTTGACAAATAAGTTTGAACAAAGACAAATTGGAAATTCGCGACTTAGACATTAAATAACTAACACAACAGTTAAAAGGTCAATCTTACTAATATTATAAAAGCGAATGTTTAGATGGATGGATGTTTGAAGGTATCTTCAGAACGGCTGAACGGGTTGGGATGAAATTTGTCATACATATAGAACATAATCTGGAAGAACACATAGGCTACTAATTATGTTATTTTAATTCTTCGCGGACAAAGTCGCGGGCGACAGCTAGTGATACAATAAAGAAGAAAATTGAATGATCCACTTAATGAATGAGTGAATGAATATCTCACCAGTCCCCTCTTTAATTCTATTCTCTTTATGCGCCCCTGTATCAACAACGTAGACCACATCAGGTATTGTGATGGAAGTCTCCGCTATGTTGGTAGCAAGTACTATTTTCCTTATCCCGGGCGCGGGTTTCTCGAACATTCTAGTCTGTTCTGTTGTTGATAACCTACAAAACTTCTAATTTAGTTTTCCTCTTCCCATCCTTTTTGAATAAGAAAAGGGTGGGAAGGGTAAGAAGATAAGATATAGCATTTTAATCTTCTTCATATATATATATTTTTTTATTAGAAGAGCAAAATGAATAACACCTGTGCAAAGTTAAATAGAAATAAATGGATAGAAAGAGAATGTTTCTCCTTCCTATACGTTTCCATCGAACCTACTTCCCCTTCCATATTCTTTATAAGAAAAGGATGGGAAAGGAATATATAATAGAGGACTTAACGCATAGAAAGGACAAAAATTATACTCCGTGCGTCCTCTTCTCTGTCGATTAAAGTTAGACAACGTATCTGCAATGGCGGATATCTGTAGGCAGTGGCATCCACTTTTCGGCGAATTCAGGTTGGCCGCTTGCAGGTTTGCCACCTTTTAATATGCAAAAAGTATTGCATATTATATTTGTAAGTTCGTAAGTACTTTTTTGATAGTAGTTTTTTTTAATTAATTACCTAGAATGTACTGGTAACACCATATGTGTCGTGGACCCCGCATATATTTGGTCTAAAAGCGTCTTTACTTGTTTGATGTCTGCCCACCCCGGAAGGAACACTAGTATTGCACCTTCCGATTCTGACTTGTCAATAGATTTGATAACGTCAACTACCTAAAAAACAAATAAGTTGAGTTTGTCTCATTTTATGGTACGAGGCAATTTTTATGAAAGTGGAACACCGCTGATTTCCGCGACTGTACATGTAGGCCATTTTGCTATTTCGTTTTTACAATTATTTTATAGAAATTTACAGATACTATTTAGTCAAAAGGCCAAGTAACTTTAAAATTGAGAAATAAGTGATATTATTTTTTATGCCAAAAAAAATTAAGGAAATATTTTGGAATATACGACTTTTATACTAAGAATAGAATTTTTGGGTAGTAAATACGTCATGTTTAGAAATCATTTGCTAGAATAAAAAGATGTCATAATTCGTGTACTTAATACTTACTTCTTGGTAATATATTTGCGGTTTTCCATCTTCCTTACCACAGTTTTCGAGAGTCATTGGTAATTTTATACGATATTTCTTTTCAATGTCATCCAAATACGACACTTGTACTGGGAAAGTACGTCCGGGGACTTCTACTATTGGACAAGGATCGAAATATCTAGAAAATAATAAACCAATATTATTAAATGTTGCTTAAATTTTCTTTTAATATTTAAGAACTGTAACTAAGGATTAAGCGGAAGATTTCTTTATAACTAAGGCGACATGTTAGTGATTGCTATTTCTATTACCATGTTCAATTTGTATTTTTACTTGCAAAAAGGTATGTAAATGATTCAAAAATGAATAATAAAATAATTATTCTTAATTAAAGTAAATTAATTAAGGCACTTTTCAACGTTGTAGGCATTTTTTGTAATATGTACACCGCGAAATAACGCGACTGTACATTTGCGCATAAATAATTTCAAATCGAACTAAAACTGAATGCTACCAATAGACGTCTGCAACGAATTGTAAAAGTTACGCAAGATTTTTTTAAATGGGAAGAAAATAGGTTGCACAGAAAAGGGACATTTTAGTATAAATCCTCTCACCCAAGGTCACTTTCCCAATGTTACCTCGTCAGAACTTACTTGGTAAACACTTCTGTATCCAATGTGGCGCTCATAATTATAACTTTGAGGTTAGGATTTACATCCAGAGCGCGCTTCAACAGGAGCAGAGTTACGTCAGTGTTGACGTCACGTTCGTGTGCTTCATCTATGAAGACGTGAGAGCAGCCTTCCAGACCTGTCAATCGTACCACGTTGCTATCCCTTTCACTCTCATTGACAAAAACAAAGAAAACAATATGGCTCACTGTGTGAAACAGACTATCATATTAAGCACTATAAATGGATAGGCGATGGGAGCTTTCGCTTCGTACCTATTTATGTGTCAATCTTACGTGATAGTTAATCTTACTCATATTATAAATGCGAATGTTTGGATGGATGGATGTTTGTTAGAATGTATCTCCAGGACGTCTGCATAAATTGTCACTGAAATTACGCACAGATGTAGAACATAACCTGGAAGAACACTTAGGCTACTAATCAAATTTTTTTCTAATTTTCCGGGCACGTAGTTGTGGGCAACAGCTTTTCTATATATATTATTAGTTTGAAGCCACACCTCTACAAACCGCTACCAGCGTAACCGTCGAAAATCAAATGGGCACAAAATACTATGTCTTTTAGCCGGTCCATTTATAGAGGTTAGTTGACTATGGTACGTATGTGAAATGAACTGACCAGGATTAAGTTGTAATCTTCGTAGTAACACTCCAGACGTACAATACAGTATAACACCGCTAGAGGGCCGCGGCACTTTCGAGTGCAAACGCACTTGATAACCTATAGATTCGCCCACCTGGAAGTAATTAACACATAAAACATAGTAAATTGTATATTCTTTCCATACTCAATAATCTATTTAAAATGATTGAAATGCTAGACAAGTTTTTAGAGTCGAACCAAAAACTGTGGCAGTACACGTAAAGGTACGCGTCCATTGGCCCGTACCAGATGCCCCGCAAACACGACCCGCAACGGATTCATCATCATCAGCTCACTATACGTCCCCACTAAGAGACTTGTAGCCCTTTTTTTTTAACGTTGGGAAATGTTTTATACATACCGCCCGCCCTTCGGGAGGCGAGCGGTTATGTGAGGGTCCCCCGGCGCCTTATGGGCTCTGGGTATACTCACTAAAATCCAACGGTGTTCCTCCTTCCCGCTAGGGACGGGGCTGTGGGAACGCAATGGCACACAACCACAACCCCGTCTGCGGATTGCTGTTTCCACGCTCAGCCAGAGGGATCCATCACCCCTCGGGCCGAAAGCGAGCCTGCCCGGCCTTATATTATCGGCCGCGCAGCCTCCCTCTCTGGCCACTACTTCCACGACCTCGGCCGCGATGACAGAGTCTTCGAGGCCTGTGACGCGCATTTCGGCGCGTTTCACCGGCCTGGCGACCCTTCGGAGGGTATCTGTGCCGGATTGCGCGACGGGAGCCCAGTGCGAGATGCCACGAGTGCGGGCATGCTGAGGACTCGGCCCAGCACACACTGGAATGGTGTGTGCACTGATCGGTCCAGCGTGCCGCACTCGTGGCAGTTATAGGTGAGGACCTCTCGCTGCCTGCCGTCGTCAACGCGATGGTGGGCAGCGAGAGTTCCTGGAACGCTGTCGCCTCCTTTTGCGAGGAGGTAATGGCGGAGAAGGAGGCGGCAGAACGACGGCGGGAGGACGACGCAGCAGCGGACGCACTCCGCCGTCGTCGAGACAGGCGCAGGCGGCAGGCGCACACCCGCCGTTTGCGCCGTAATAGGAGCTTCGGGCGATGGATGACCATCTACCCATCGCACGCCATACACCAGTGAAGTTATGTTGAAGGTGACGCTCCCGGTGCTCCGGGGGCGTCGAATAACTATTTTATTCACAGAGACTGCGGAGGATACCTGTCCCGCGAAGAAGATGTGGTGTCTGCGAAAGCGAACTGTCGCCGGCTGGGTCGCGGAAGATTGCGTAAGTGTTCCCGCGACCCAGCCATAGGGCGTGGTGAAGGGCCCGAGGGGTTTTAGTGGGTATGGCCGAACGACTTTAGGTGAGTCCCACACTCCCTGCGCCACTGCAACATCTAGGCCCGGCGCAGGGGTGCGTAACTGCATTTCCCCTCGTAAAAAAAAAAGGCCATAGTCAACCTGGGACAGTGCTGGTTGACTTCACACATATCTTTAAATTTCTTCAAACATATATGCAGGTTGCATCACGATGTTTTCCTTCCCCTGAAGAACACATTGGTAGATGGCGGGATTCGAACCCAGGACCTACAGATTGCAAGTCATGTGCTGAAACCCCTGTGCCACCAACGCTCGCAACAGATTGCTTGTTGATAAATCCAGTCTCGATGCGCACGTGCATAATGAACGCGGTTCTATGTTAAATCATACAAAGAAAATTAAAATACGTTGCTGGCCGTCGCGTGCAGTGCGGATCAATGAAAGCGTATCCTAAGTAAATCAAGTGAAGAACTATCAAAGTGTTTTTATCTCGTTCTCGCCAGTATCTTACCTCTTCTCCCATTTCCTCAGCAACTCTTTGTGCCAACCCTATAGCAGCTACTCGCCTGGGCTCCGATACTATAGCAGTGGTATTACATCCCAATGCCTTTAATACTGCAGCAGGAGCCCTGGTCGACTTCCCACAACCTGCTGCACCGACTATGACTAGTACACGAGATGTCTTTAGTGTTGTTGTTATCTCTTTCCTGTAGATCAGAGGTGAGCAACCTTTTTAATTAATGTGTCAATTTAATTTAAGGCAGGCCATAGATTAACTCTTATTATTAATTTATGAAACTTTATCTCACTAATATTTTATGCGAATGTTTGGATGGATGGATGTTTTTTTGGAGGTATCTCCAGAACTGCTAAACAGATCCGGTTGAAATTTGGCATATACGTAGAATATAGTCTGGAAGAACACATAGGCTACTAATTAGGATTTTTTTTAATTCCGCGCGGACGGAGTTGCGGGCGATAGCTACTTTATAATAAGTATTAAAATAAAAAAAAAATTGCACAGACGCAGAATTATTTATTTTCCTTTAACTGGCCAGTATGCAAAATAAAAGAAAAACACTATTAGAAACGGTAAGTCCGTCATAAAAATCGTCACTAAAAATGAAAGTATTATAATGCTTTCGTCAGTGAAATCAACAAAATCGAAAGTAAACCGAATGAGAGTGAACGTAGTTTACTTTCTTTGCCCATGACGTCATCTTGACGTTTGTGAATGTCAAACTGACGTTTACAGAGACGTCATAGTGACGTTTGACGTTAACGTCACGTGACGTATATTTGGGGCTTTAGAACTGAAAGCGAGAGTGGACTTTCGATTTCGTTCACTTTCGTTGTTTCGTTTCTTTACTTTCTAATATTCGGGCGTTAAAAGAAAATAATGACAGGTGAAATATGACATTACTTATATGATAAAAGAAAAAAAATTAAAAAATAATTTGTGATAAACACACAGCAAATGCTTCCGTGTACAAAGTTACACATTTGGTAGTAAACCTAATAAAAAAAATGAGATCGGCGACCTTTTTCTAAAATCAAGTTCATGTCAAGGTCACACGTATGTAGGGTGAATTTTGGTCTATCTAGGTCACGTGTTTATTTGTAAAACGTTATAAGGTCGCAAGAAGCACATTTAGGGTCGTAACCTGGTTTACGATGGGTCAAGGTGACTTCGTAGAACCGTGTCGGATTCAACCTAGTTGTGGTTTTAATGACAAAATGTTTTCATGTTACGCATCAGTTTTAAGAACAGTACTATGACAATTGAAAAAAATGGTATAGTTAAACAAGGATATCCGAACCGATGAGAGGCGCTATCGTGGTTGTTTCTTTCAGAATATACAAATCTACTTTTAGACATTATTAGTTAGAATTCAAGTATCAGAATGATTAGGCAGGGGACATAAACGTCGATAATATAATAAGGCTATTGTTGAGCCAGTACACCGGCACAGTATCGGATTTCTTTCCTAACACTACTTAGACATAGAAGAAAAGGAAAATCTTGTGACAGTTTTTTGACATTGACAGAGAGTCGCTAGTGAGCTGTCATTATTTAGTTTGACTTATACCCCTAGTTCAGATAGCCTTATCGGTCTATACGCATACTTTAAGATGCAACTTCTTAAATATATTTTTTAAAATAAAATATACATCTGTACTTTTAATAATTATTTGTTTAATAGTTAACTGAATGTAGTCTATGTTACTCAGTGATATTGTAGCATTTTAATGATGAAATAATAAAAAAAATAGTCTAGTAGTTTTTGAGTTTATTAGACAAATATGTATAACCCTTCCAAGAGTAAATTGAATAGGCATTTTCTGAATATCACCAATTAACAATAGATCAACAGTAGTAGATCCCGCTTTAACATCTTCGCACGAAATGTCCCGGCTCGCCCGGTGAAATACCACGACCACACAGAAGACAGGCCTCAAGTGGAAGCTATTCCAAGTACAGTCTGATGAGTGTGCGTCCCGGAGGCCTAATTTAGTCCTCTTTTCCTTCCTACCCTTTATCTTATAAGGAAAGAATGGGAAGTGGAAGTGGACTTTCCGGATGAGAGGATGCATGGAAAAGGAAAATATTTTCTTTCTGTGCATCCTCTCCTCCGTCGATTAAAGGTAGGCAACGCATATGCAATTGCGTATGCCTACGGGCAACGGTCACTTTGCTATTTCAGCGATTTCAGGTGACCGCTTGCTCATTTGCCACCTTATGATATTAAAAAAAAGGTACTTACGTATATTGATCGATTGGTAGGGGTATCAATTCTTCATTATACCGTTCAAATGTTTGCTTCAAAGTTCTATCACGTCTGGCTAATTGAGCCTCTGAAGGGGGGTGGACAGGCCTACCAAATACTGGGTGTATTGGTGTTCTCGCATCTGTAAGGAAACTTAATATTATTACAATAGGTAGACCCCTAATAGGGTGTTAAAACTCTAACCGTGGGTTACTGAGACCAAAATCTCAATTATCATTAAAACAATATTCTAAAGTTATTAATTTAAAGTTGAAATTAAATACAAATTTAATTACCTTTAAAAGTATTTAATTCTTCATCAATTTCACTATCTTGAGATTCCTCGGGTAGATTATCTGTGAAAAAATTTATTAATTAGTCTATAGTTTAAGAATTACAAAAGGGGTTATGTAATTAAATTCTTTAATAAATTTATTTTTGGATACAAAAACATACAAATAGCTATATATATTAGTGAGTTATTATTGCTTAAAAAGGTCTAGTCTTGTCTTTAAAAAATAATATTATAATACATTAATTATAGGAATTCAATTATTGGGTTCGGCCATTGCTTACCTTCTACATCTATGGTTGAGTCTTTGGTTAACACCGATGGAGTGAAATATACTCTATGACTTGCCTCTTCAAATGTCTTTTCATAAACATGCTCTGTATAAATAAACATATTTTAAATCAACTTGTTGCCTGTAATTCCCTCCGCACAGAATTAAAAAAATATTAAGTGGCCTTAAAGACTATGTTCTACATCTATGCCAAACAATGTTGAGAACAACTTAACCATTCCGAAGATACCTTCCAACAAACATCCATCCATCCATTTAAACTTTCGCATTTAATATTAGAGCAATTCTATTTATTTCATCACCATCATAGGTCACTATACTGATGGGCTTGCAGCCTACCCTAAGTTAGGGGTGACTAGGTCCTAGTCAACACTGGCCCAGTGCGGGTTGACTGCACACAGATCTTTGAATCTGTTCTCAAATATGTGCAGCATAACGATGTTTTCCTTCCCCATAAGAACGTCAGATAAATGTACATATGTAAATCGAAAAACACATTGATACATGGCAAGATCAGGACCCAGGACCTGCAGATTGCAAGTCCTTTAGCCCTCAAGCTTTACCCCTGAACCAACAGCTCATTTTCATATTATATATTCTATTTATATACTTACTAATTTCATTTTCATAATCATTCCATATCCTATTTATTCTTATAAGAGAATTGTCACTAATTTCCGCTTGTAATGGTTCATTTAAGTTACTTTTGATATCTTCTATGACTTTCTTATCATATATCGGATTGCCTTTATTATCTATCCGTTTGTTTATATATAACCAATGTAACGCTTGTGTAGCAGATTTTTCTGCAGCTTGCCGTTTTGATATTGCAATACTGAAAAATTGAACATTAAATTCATAGTAATAAGGGCTGTAATTCAGTAACTATCTGTGTATATTTTATTTAAATGCTATTATACATAGATCTACAGTCAAGCTCATGAAAGAACCCCATTAACCACATTGTTACAGCAAATTTATTATTCAACTAGCTATCGCCCGCGACTCTGTATGCATGGTATAAACAAACTAAATAAGTAGCCTATATGTTCTTCCAGTCTATGTTCTATATATTCCAAATTTCAGCGACATCCATTGAGGCTTTCCAGATATACTTACAAACACACAAGCATCTGTCCATCTAAACATTCCCATCTTACTAATATTATAAATTCGAATGTTTAGATGGATGGATGAATGTTTGTTTAAAGGTATCTCCGGAACTGCTGCATGGATCTCACTTAAATTTGGCATACATATAGAACATAGTCTGCAAGAACACATAGGCTACTTATAAGTTGTTTTTCAAAATCCGCGCAGACGGAGCCGCGGGCGGCAGCTAGTTTATGATATTAGTAAGATATAATTATTGTTAATATATTCTTAGGCACAGCACCTCATTTCTGTGAGGTTGTGCTATTTAATTGATTGCTGCTCTGTACATGCAGAATTGAAAAAAAAAATTAACTAGTAGCCTATTTTTCTCTCAGTCTATGAATCTTATTTGGTTTAGTTTTGTAAATTTGAATACTTACAAATAAACCCGTTTAGCCAATCTTATTATACTACTAGCGATTCTCGCGATTCTGTCCGCGCGGATTAAAAAAAAAACATAATTAGTAGCCTATGTGTTCTTCCAGACTATGTTCTACATCTACCCCAAATTTCATTGTAATCCATTGCGTTTTGCAAATACCGTCTAACAAATATTTATTCATACATACATTATAATATTAGTAGAAGATTTGTATATATTAAATTGCTTTTTACCTTTCAAATTTAATCTTCTGAGGCCAAATAAAGGTATATGTACATGTCCAATCACTGTTACTTAAGCCCATTTTCTTCCTAACACCTTTTGGTGCGACCACATTTTGTTTGTAGTGAATATCAAACACTTTCTCCGGTGTTTTTGCATTTAAATTATTAAGTGTTTCTCTTGGATGTGGAAATAGTTGAGCTATCCTTTTTAATTCTGAAAAAACAAAAAAAAATTGTTTTAATAGAATCATCATCAACCTACCCTTATTCCTATTGAGGGTTGGCACAATATTTACTACTCCTCCATACATCTGTTATCAGCAGTCATATCCTCTTTCAAACAGTCATTACATAATTTTTTTGGTCTTCCTCTACCCTTGTAGGCATCCACATTCAATCTCATTAATTTTTTGCTTATATCATCATCATCCCTCCTCATAACATGTCCAAACCTCGCTAATCTTTTACTCTTCAATTTCTCGATCACTGGCGCTACTTTCAAACTTCCTCTGATATACACATTTTTAACTTTATGCTTTCTTGTCACACTACACACCCATCTAAGCATACGTTTTAATAGAATAAAATCATTAATTTAAACACTTTAAATGCCAACTTTAGTGCATTCTAATTATAGTGCCAAAATTTGATTTTTATAAATTGTTTAGGTTGTTGTTAAATTAATTAACTTACCTTTTTCATTTTGAGAATTTACTAACTGTGTTACATCACCATCAATTAAACTATTGGAATAATATCTTCTGTAAACATTGTTTAAATTGGACAAATATGAATAAGACAGCAGCTTTCTTCTTTCAACATAGGTTGGGTTTACATATGTATTTATGCCTGAAAAAAAGTTTTAGCAAATTAAATGTAAAAGTATGTCAATAGCAACATAAAACTTCCAAAGAGCATAATTAAAATTATAAATATTAGACTCGGCTGTGGAGGGGAAGTATGAGAAGGGTAACCCCCTTCTGTGCTTCCGGTTTTTTCTTATATTGAATAAGCCAACACTTGACCATGATCCCTCCTCTGGCATTTAAAGGTAGGCAACCTATTGACATATTTTTGGCGATAAAGATGTTTATGGACAGTTTTTGCGTTGCTATTTTAGCCGAATCAGGTGGCCGATTGCTCACCACTTAATTTAAAAATGTGAATATAATTTTACTTACTTTGGTATGAATTGCAGAGTACCACTTGATTTTTACAAATTTGACTACAGCAATCAATTTGTAAAAGTCTCTTTCTATAAATAGCATTAGAAATAAGATACTTCCTTAAAAACATTGTCGGTAAATACTTTTACAAATTATAACCTAAAACTTCAGTTTTTGATAGGTTATATAAGGTTTACATTTAGATACGGGTTTTCTTGGAAATTGATCTACAAACTATTAAAAAGATAACGAATGCATTTGAAATACGTGAATTATTCACAATTTGAAGATTTCTTTCATACAAATAGTATTGGGCTTTTTATATTGGACTGTCAGTATGATTCTGACAGCGTTTGTCAAAATATTGAATATGACATTGACTTAAAGAAGTGTTTGGAAATGTTATTCAAACATGATAATGAAATTCATAACACGTACGTTTAACTCATAAATTGAACAAAAAATACTGCAAACTTAATTACAGGTATTAAACCTTTTAAATATAAAAACGATAACATTTAAAGATAATTCTTTAAAATGACTAACTTATGTACGAGTAATTATCCTTATATTGCCTATTTATAAGCATACCAGTAGTGGATCTGAGTGGATCGCTTAATATTAACTGATCCGATGCCCATGAATATCAGCAACACCATAGGAGCATTATTCCATATGCGTCCGAACCTGCCATAGATAAGATACTATGTAGGTAAGTGCGCCTCGTGAAGCTGTAAATACTGCTTCGCTCTACCGAGACACCAAGCTTCTTGTATGTCGGTATAATTATATTCTAACAATGCAGCTAGGCCGTTAGATGACGTCAATGGGTTAACCCGTTAATGGCAAACCACAGATATGTTGGATGTGTGGATATGTTTAAGAATTCCTAATGCGTTAAGTTATTTATAATTTTTCCATATTTTCTATAACATTAATGAACCTTTATACTTATAGAAGATGTTTTACAGATAAATGTGAAGTGGAAATATTTGCGTTCCGTCTAATGACTGGTTTCAGAGGCTAATTCAAGTACGCTTCCCCTTTCCAACTTTTACTAATAACCGGAGCCCAACATATTGTTATCTCTTTTTTCTTTAAAGACAATGCGAGGGATGACTATATGTTTAAGCAGTCGAAATTCAGTAAAATACTAAATTTGTTTAATATGTCAGCAAGCTTATCAAATAAACACTATATACCGACAAGGATGTCTGTCCCGGTGGGCGTAAATTAAACTCAAAGAGTATAATAAGTATACTATAGAATAGTATAGGTTAAACTAAATTGCTCAGTAGCTCACTAGCGCCCTCTAGTTAATATTAAAAAAGTGTCACAAGATCCTTCTTGAACTGTCTGTCTTGTCATGTTTTTTCTTTTATGGCATTTTCTGTGCTTAAGTAGGTTTTATATATTTCGTGACAAAACTAACCGCGACAGCCACGCCTTTCGTACCGGTTCGGATAAAGATGTCGCACAAAATATTTTAGTTGGAGTTTTTTTTTTGGAGCATATCCTTTCGTCATTGTCACTATTTCAAGTAGGTACATTAGACATAAAAAGGGCTGTAGTTATTGTATGTTTATCGATGATGAGAGTTCAACGACCTAAATATTACTGTATGACAAATTGTAACAATAAAATGCAATCAATTTCATCATAGTTATGAGTGTTTTAAATAAATATAGCTACAAATGAGTCATGTTTTATTGCGAAGTTAATTTGCTAATATGTTCATAAATCTGAGTATAGTGCATGCATAACCTAATTAGAGAAACTGTAATTTTTTACAGTATTAATTTTAATTTGAGTAATGAGTGTAAATCTCGCTTTAAGCCTTTTTACCGTTATCCTTAAAGCGGTCATTACGGTATTGAAATCAGAACACGAGACTTAAAACAATAAATATACGTGACACAATGAAGTATGTTTTGAGGGTATTTTTAAAAACAAAACAAGCTTTTGTCTATGACTTTACTTTCACCAAGTCGAGATATAGACACTTGCATCACATTTTTACTTTAAAGTCACACACATTATAATATTTGAGGAAATTCTCTTATACATTATTGACCACACATAGTTACCATACTAACTAGCTAATGAATGAATTTGTCAGCGTGAAAGTAATAAAAGTAGCCTGTAGTATGCTCGAGAGAATCAACTACCTTCCCATACAAGTCACGTCAAAATTGATCCAGCCGTTCCGGACATTACCTTGACCATTGCAGACAGATATACAGACAGACAGTCGTAGAGCCCGCTTTAACATCTTCGCACGAATCGCCCGCGCTCGCCCGGTGAAATACCACGACCACACAGAAGACAGGCGTGAAGTGGAAGCAATTCCGCGTTTCGTTTGATGAGTGTGCGTCCCGGAGGCCTAATTTAGTCCTCTTTCTCTTCCCATACTTTTCTTTTTAAGGAAAGGATGGGAAGTGGAAGTGGACTTTCCGAATGAGAAGATGCAAGGAAAGGGAAGATATTTTCTTTCTGTGCATCCTCTCCTCCGTCGATTAAAGGTAGGCAACGCATATGCTATTGCGTATGTCTATGGGCAACGGTCACTTCGCTATTTCAGCGACTTCAGGTGGCCGCTCGCTCGTTTGCCACGTTATGATATATAAAAAAAGACATAAAAAATATCTTTTTTCAATATAACGTACAGATATTCCAATACTATTACTAATTGCTGGTAATTCACATTTGTAGGTTATGTATTATACATTATCTGTATTTCTATTTTTAGTACTTAATAATTTAATTTACTTATAATATGTAGTACTTAGCACAGCTAAACAATATTTTGTTAAACAAATAGCACATGAGTGATGAATTTGAACGTTTAGCATTATTTAATAAGGAAATATTATTCTTTGAACTCGTCTACCTTGAAATGTTAAGTTAACAATGTGGTCAAATACCACAAACTTGGCAAATCTTATAATTTTATTATTCATAGAATTGTTAAAATAAATGTTAAAAAATAAAGCATGTATTTTTTTTTAGAGTAAAGCAAAATAAATGTTTAAAGTCATTAGTAAACAGATTACATTTTTTGCAAAACTGACAAAGAGGATAAATATTTCGCATTTATGTTTGTAACGAATAAACTTAAAAACCACTGGAGCAATTTTAAATATTCTTTTACCATTAAAATGCAACATCATCTCTGAGTTACATAGATTATGTTCAGCCGCTAGTACTTTAGTAAACTTATCTTTCTAAGTCCTAGTAATCATTATCGGACAGTAAATAACCACATCATAGTTGACGATAAATTCTATGATCAATCGGAAACTTTATCGATAATAACTTGAGTCACATCCCTATTTCAAGTACTTAGTGCGAATTGCAATTATAATGTTGATAATTTTAGTATGACTAATTCGGTATAGTCCTAAAGATAAAAATATATATCTTGTCACCTAACCTTAACCGATTTGGAACTTTTTATTTTTAAATACAATAATACAACATGATGAAATTATATTCAATAAATATATGGGTTTTTATCCGACTCGTATGGAGGGTTGTATATATTTTTTACTACATTCAAACAGTACAGTCATTTACACTGACTCGAACAGAGAGACGCTGCTATCGTGATTAATTCTGGCATAAAGAACACATGACGTGACATGTATAGTATTGACACTTTTTTTGCATTGTCAGGGAGGCGCTAGTGAGCTCATAATTTAGTTTGACTTATGTCAGACATCCTTGTCGGTCTATAGTGTTTATGTCGGTTCGATTATAACACCTAACTTGAATGGCTCGATATTTTGAAGAATGAGAAGAAGCCATGTAGGTCGTATTAGTTCGAAAATTATTGACTCTGCTAGTCAAAATTAACTTTTCTTTTAACTACTAGCCTAGTATTATACGAAGCATTAAATAGTTCCATTTTTTTAATTTTTTCATATATCACTGGCATTTTTTTACATATTTAATTATGTTTTCCAAAGATTGTTTCTTGAGGAAAAAATGTTAATTAATGAAAATATTTGTCCGTGAGCAACCAGTACTGATGTGCAAGGAATAAAGAACGTTGATTGCGCTGCCGATTAACTGTCTGTTGACCTTAAAAACTCTTATACCTACAGCTTTTTTTAATTTCAAATTAAAAAAAAATAGTGTATGACACAAAAAAGAATCTATTATTCTAAGTGCCAGTAAGTTTTAATAAGAATAATATTAAAAAAACTCAAAAGAGTTCGAAATTCAATTTTATTTTGCTTCTAATTGACGTAATTTTTTTTTCGGATACATTCTTTCTTTTAAGACAGTCTTATTGATACGGATAAGGTGATATAAAAACTTGACTATAAAGTATTATTTTTTTAATATAATTACATATTTCATGTCATTACACTTAAGCAATTTATTGCTTGTTATATTATTTAAAGAATGAATTTAATTAAAATTATTTTGGACGAAATTTTTATTGTCTCAGTCTGACATGACATTTGCACAATCACAACCTCACAAAGATACAAATATTAATATAGAATAATTAACACTTAACTAAAAAATAGTAGGTTTAGAATAAATGCCACCAAATATCACAGTTGCAGTGGATTTTTCCATGACGAAATATATGAACGGTCGATTCGCTTGGAAGTTTGGTGTTGCTATCCTATCTGCGATGTAGGCAGATGTCGCTGCGGACGCGACTGTACCAGACTCTGTCACTTCTATATCGGCTTTATGTACAATCGCGGACACAAAAATCTCCTCTTTTGTAACACGACCGAAGGTAGCTAAATGAGGCTGGAATATATCTTTAACACCCATGTATCCTAATGGCTTGTTAAGTACCACATTCGTACTAATGCGGAATCTTGGTATTCTAACATCTATTTCTTCCAAACCGAACTCATCTACGTCAGTCTGTAACTGCTTATAAATATCAGTGATACTAACACTTTCGAATTTCTTGTATACATCTGTAACTTTAACTTTAGGATACGGCAAAATGAGGAGCATAGAATATTTTCCGTCGTTACCGTAAGGCATGTCTAATGCTAGAGCGTTCATAGCTCTGATGTTAGAGAATGCTACCGGTGCTTTTTGATACATCATGTTGACTTTGCCTATTTGTTTATTATTCTCATCGAAGAATGGCTCTTCAGTTGTTTCGGATTTATTAAACGGCAACGCCCAGAGACCTTTGAATGATATTGCATTCGTAAGTATCATCCTTGAATCCATAAAGTCATCTGAACGCAAAACATTTGATACGGTCGCGCCTGACTTTTGTATTATGGAGTTAGCCGCCTCCGCAGCTTTGTTAGAATCCTTGAAGTTCAAAGTTTGTATTGTCGCACCGAAATCGTTGAGCAAAGTCTTCTTGAAATCATCGTAGATCATAAATCCATGGTCTAGGAAGACGAAATTCTTGCTCGTAAGACTAACAGCTGGTGTGGTAGGATTGAGGACGGTGTTCGATAGCTTTTTGAATCCGGTTATCAATGTAAGCGGGTTTTTCGGTAGGACGAACGCATTTGTCAGTTGTTCGTAGCTTTGGCCCGTTGCGCCGAGAGCGACGCCCGTCATCAGAGTCCAAACACCAAAGGGGGATATGACGACATGGCCGCCTGTTTCCTGTGCTGTGTAGTGAAGTAATTCAATGCTGAAGTTCCTGGCGCGTCCACTGAACTCCGTCTTGCAATAACACGTAGAAGCAAAAAATAGAAACGTCACAAATCGATACATTATGCGGCCGTTCGCGGACGTGGCCGGAGGCTGACTGAGTACGAATTTTATTCACCGTGTGTACACCTTCCTTGTAGATGACACCTGTTTGGTGGCACGATTGTATGTTCTATGCGTCATACATAACGTCGCCATTTGCGTTCTGTATTTCGAGATTTGTTTTTTATTTTATCCAACCATTGTAGACTATAAAACCGGTTTGTTTTAACGCAGCCAAGACTAGTATGAACTTGGTAAAACCATCAATATCGTTTCTGTGTTTTGACATTAGGAACGGCTTAAACGATTTTTAATTTAATTGGATGCCGTGAATACTCACGTGTATTGTATTGCTTTTGAAACTTGGCGAAACATATTCAAAACCAACATAATTGGTATGCAAAATAATATAATCGTACAGAAATCGAGGGAGCCGTCATAATTTACAAGAACCGTTAAGCTTTTTGTGCAAAACTGCATATGACGTCATAAGAAAAACGAAAAGTACTATGACGTAACAAAAGTAGACCATCCACATGGAGCAGTGGTTCCCAAACTTTTTTCTCCTTGACCATATTCAGAATATGACTGGTCCTTAACCTCAAGTTTATGCTATGGTCTTCCATGGACCACACCTGGATTACTTTGGGAAACACAGAGATAGACTAATAAATGTGGTCAAAAACTATAATAGTCCATTAGCCTTCTCCAAAGTATCTTACTAATATTATAAATGCGAATGTTTAGATGGCTATTTGTTTTAAGGTATCTCCAGAACGTCTGAACGGATCTCGATGATATTTGGCATAGATGTAGAACATAGTCTGGAAGAAAACATAGACTAATATTTAAGTTTTTATTAAATTTGCAGAGTCACGGGCGACAGCTAATCTAGTAATAATTATAACATCAGGGGATAGTGTAGCTTCTCAAGAGTGAAATAATTTTTCAAATCGGTTCAGTAGTGCCGGAGCCTAATCAATGCGAAGAAACGAACAAGAAATCTATCATATAATATTTATCATCAGCCTATCAGACAACTGGTCTTTCCCAATGCCTTCCAAAGTACGAAGTTCTTTGGTAAACTATATTTTTGATGACGCAAATTGATGAAGATTAAATATCTGATGAAGTGTTTTTATCTGGAAGAATAAAAACTTTTTTCTAATGATAATGATGACGAATAAGTTTCTATATTTTAAAAAGAACATGCATTCAATGATCGGTACTGAGGGCCTATTAGTTTCCTCGCAAAGGGTTTTACCAGTAACGTATTTAAATCCTTGCTTCGTGACCACAGTCACGAGTGTTTTAGGTTTTTTAAAATTACATTTACTCACGTATACGCCTCGCATAAAATAAATTTATTTAATAATAATATTTGTAGAAGAATAATTTTAAAACAAGAAAAACGAGAATTATCAAGGAGTTTTTATATTTCAATTGATACTAGCCGTTTTGAATAAACAGTTTGTATAATTTTAAAAAGTATAATGAAATCGTTTTGACGTCGTCATTAAATGGCAATCAAAAGTAAAATATATTTTAAATGATTTGATATTTAATGTTTAAGTAATATAATATACGATACGTTAGTTTTTCGTAAATTAAAGTGCAACGTGATTTTCATAGTGTCAATGTAACGTGTAAAAACTTTGATGTGCAGTTTTTATAATAAAACTTTTTTAAATCATAAATGCATTTGTAACTGTCTGTTGATGTGTATTTTGGTGACTGTTGACTACGCACCCCGGACGAGTTATTTTAAGGTACCTATATAATATTTGTTTAAACATTGAGCAATAAACTAGTAGATTTTTAACGTTAATCGTATTGGGTTTTATTGTAAAACTCAAAAGACGAAAAGCGCAACGGTTTCCACTTCTCGTCTGTCTTTGTGGTTGTGGTAATTTACCGGGTGAACCCGCCAATTCGTGCGAAGATGTTAAAGCGTGCTGTACCACTGTTAAAACCCAGATCATGTAACCCAAACGGGTAGAGAGACCGTGAGCTACTTTCATTCAATTGTAAGTAATACTTTCCGTCTGGAATTCCCAATTGAGGATACTTTCACAATTTTTATTATTCGAACACCCGTATGTTTCTTTTAATGTAACAGTTTGGTTTTACATTACATAAAATACATTATTTTATTTAGGTTAATTACCTAGGTTTAAAAACTGCGGAAAACAAACTACGTATAATTATTAAATAGCATAAGTTAATATTTAAAGTATTGCGGAAAATAACCTACAGGCGCACCGTTTTCAATGCAGGCTTTGAAAATATTTCGTAACAATTTATTTGTTTACTCTGACTGTAACGTTGCATGACCTGTAAGACAAACACGAACGTGTGCATCATGCATTTTGATTGGTCTTCACAACTGAGACTTGCATCGACTTGTATTTTGTACGTAATATTTGGCCCTTAGACTACATTTATGCCTAGCATATTTAGTGCCAAATGGATATCCATTTAGTATATAAATATTCAACTGAACATAAATAGAGGATGATGCCATCTAATAAAAACATTACAATTGAAATTATTATAATTTATGGGAAAATCACTTTTTCCTTATACTATTTTTAACAAACACTTTACATATTGAGTATTATATAAATAAATCAGAAATAAATCGTAAGTGCAATGGTTTTTAGCTGCTTGTTTTAAGCGTATCGTCAACATTGCTATAATTCACTGTCCAGGCGCGGACATTTTTATATTTTTTTCTTATACATGGGATGGGGATTTACAAGTAAGGGTAAATTGTTGAAAAAATAGACCAAAACACCGAAGAAAGTATGAATACACTGTGTGAAAGGGTTGATGAAGATGTATGGAAGAGAATGCTGTGCCGACACTTCGCTAGTGCCTACACGACACCAGTGAACAGGACAGTATGAAGACGTGGAAAGAAAGAAAAGAAATCAAAAAACACAGATTGATATAGTCTTAAATGTCTTTGAATCCGAAGTATACTTTTTTAATCGTATAAAGAAGCGACGGGAGAAGAAGCGGAAGAAGCACTTTGATATTTACGTTGAAATGAGGGCATATTTATAATGAGTTATTATTGTTTTATGCCCACACCAAACGTGATAAGAACGACAGTATTGAAAACAAGTGTTACCAATCGCGTGGTTACTAGAATATATTACAATGACCACTGAATTACTTTGTTTACTTACTAACCGTGGGTTGCTGAGACCAAAATGTACATTTAAAACATATTGTAGTCAATGATAGGGATGACGATTTTATACAGAGATTTTGGTCTCAGAAACGAACAATTAGACTCGTGAAGTCGTACCTTAGTGTAAATTTACTGTGAGAAAATCAAAGGGCATTAAGTTTTTTGTATTGTCAATAATATGAAAAATATACAAAAACTCTTTTTTTTATGCCATTAAATTTTATTTTTAAATATGTTGTAACATACTCGCAAATTGTATTATTTTAGTGTAAGTTTCTTGAATTAAAAAATCTACAATTTTGTTTATATTTCGGGTGTCAACGATATAGTATAAAGGTTATCAATAAGAGGTAATTTTAATATAATTTGCCTCATTTCGTACGCGTTGAAAATATAATATGAAAATTATAATGAGTGTCCATTTGATTTGGCACTTAGAGAGCAAGATTATTAATTTATCTCGCGTGCCAAGTCAAGCGCAGGTCAGTCTTAATAATAGCAATGACAACAAGGAGATCTTTGATGAATGTGGAAGAATACACCGATAGGGATGGATGGTTGGGTAGGTGACATACTAGAAGAGAGTGACGACTGAGATGACGGAAGACATATCAATCTGGTCGACGAAGTTCGCTGACCTTAGGGAGTGAGATAATGACAGTGCTATACTGGCAATGACATATAGGACAGACAACTACAGTAGGAGTGAAAAAGTTTGAATACAAAATTTATTTAGTTGTCAAGTTGTTACAATAGAGTTTCTTGAAACTTAACGTATTATCAGCCGGGAAAAAGAAGGGATGTCGTTTTTAGGAGAAAAATCCTGTGTAGAAATCGATATTACGATAGATGGATGTTTGTTAGAAGGTATCTTCAGAACGGCTTAACAGATCTTGCTGAAATTTGGCATAAATGTAGAATATAGTCTGGAAGAACACATAGGCTACTAATTTTGTATTTTTTTTTAATTCTGCGTTGACTGACTGAGGAATAATAGAAATAATACAGTGCTTTTCATTTGGTGTCCATTTAATATCTTAAATCATACTAACTAAAATAACAAAACTATGTACAAAATAATAGGCGTCTAAAAAACACAGATATTTGTTCAAAATATAGATGGTTTGGAGTAAACACCGCTGAATATTATTGTGTTTGTTGTTTTTTCCATAATGAAATATATAAAAGGTCTGTTCGCGTTGAAATTCGCTGGCATCATTCTATCAGAGAAGTATGAAGAAGTTGAAGCCGAAGCTATGGTTCCCTTTTCCGTCACTTCTATATCAGCCTTGTGAACGATTGATGATACAAATATGTTATTCGAATCAGTTATTTTACCAAAGCTAGCTGCACTAGGATCGAAAATATCAGACAGACCCATCTTATTTAACGGCCTATTAAGTACAACATTAGTACTAATTTTAAATCTAGGCAAACTAATAATAACTTCTATAGTTCCATACATATCTGTATCGTTTTGTAACTTTAGTATAATATCTTTGAGATTTACGATAGATAATTTTTTGTATACAGTAGAAACTGGAACACCCTTATATGGTAGAAGTACTACAAATGTATATTTACTACTTTCCTCGTTACCATAAGGTAGTTCAAGAATAGTCGACTCGATTTCTTCAAAAGTGGAATACGAAAAAGAGCCTTCTAGATGCATCATGTTGACTTCACCTGTTTGTAATCCATTTTCATTGTAAAATGGCTCTACGTTTGTTAATGTTTCATTGAAAGGAGTTTGCCAGAAACCTTTGAAAGTTATTACATTGGTTAATATCATTCTTGAGTTTTCAAAATCATCAGGCTTTAGTACGTTCGAAACGGCCATTCCGTATTTCTTGATAACCTCATTTGCTATCTTTGCAGCCGACTGTGGAGGTTTAAAGTTGAGTTTTGTTGGTATCGTCTTAAAATTATTTCGTAATTCATTTATAAAATCTTTTTTAATAAAAAAATCACTGTCACTAAACAAATAGTTTCTATTTTTCAATTCCACTGCTCCAGTGTTAGAATTAAGAACAGCTGTAGTTAAAGATTGGTACCCATTGACTAAGTTTTCTTTTTTCTTAGGAAGGATCAATGTTGTCATTAGTTGTTCTCGACTTGTTCCCGTCGCTCCTAAGGATATTCCTGTTATTAGTGACCATATTCCAAACGGTGATATCACCGTATGCCAATTTATCTCTTCCGCGGTGTAATACAATAGTTCCACACTAAAGTTTCTCGCTCTGTCACTAAATTCAATTTTACAATAGCCACACGAAAACAAAACGAATAAAATTAATATCACTTTCATTATGACGTCCGATCACTGCGACGTCCAATAACAGAACTGATATATTGCGAAATGTTTTTACAATTATGTTTATAGTTAGTAATTTGTACCGATATATATATAATTGATAAGATGTTATTCGTTATTTCCCAATTTATAGGAATAACTCTGGTAGTTCTTGACATTTGTACTGTATAATATGTACCAGCTATAGAATTAGACCACACGAGTGGGGATTTCATTACTGCGTTCACAAACAAATACACATAAGGAAAAAATACAAGAAACACTTCCCGTGGAATTTTGACTCATCATTTAACGTAATCTGGTGCCAAGCTTCTCAAGTATTCGTTTTCGTATCGAGAATTAGTTTTTACATAATACTAATGTATACTATATAACTATGGTTAAGTATATACTTTTTTACTCCGTTGGATCGACCCAAAGTGGGTCTTCGCCTCTGACACAAGAGATCTCTTTTGTCGGTTTCGTTACAATTGGTTTTTTCCGGGTGCGAGTGGTCAGCCCGTCAACAATCCCCATATTGCTGGAGGACCACACTCTACTTTGGTCAGCGAGCCCATCGGGCTTAGCCGGGTAGCGTAGCTATGCTGTACTATCGATCACTCCCCCATCCAGCACCCGAAGGATGCTCCCCATACGTCGTGAGGGCCAGCGCAGGTCAAGTATATAGATTGTGGTTATTCTGACGCTCTTCTTTGTATTCAAAATCAATTCTAGTTTGTTGCATTGTAACACAATTCATCCAGGCCGGTTGTTGTTTAGATTTGATATAGAATATAGTTTTATTTCATTACTTCAATCAAAATCTTGTACATCTATATGTAATTGATGACTATTGTCAAATCGATCAATTATAATCTTACTTCTTACTAATCTTATTAACATTATAAATACGAATGTTCACATAGATGGATGTTTGTATCTCCGGAACGACTCAGCGGACTTTGATGAAATTTGGCACACATATAGAACATAGTGTGGAAGAACACATAGCCTACTTATTATTTTTTTTTAATTTATCGTGACGGAGCCGCGTGCGACAATAGTTCATGAAGGATAGTTTGATTTGAAACCGTTCCTTTTTTATCTTTACTTACCTAATTACAACGTTTTTTTATTAATCAATGCATTAATAATGAAATAAAAACGATTCACTCTTATTTAGTACTCTTTATTGATTTTAAATCTTAATTATATTAGAAATGCGAATGTTTAGATGGATGGATGATTGTTTGAAGGTATCTCCAGAACGGGTGCATGGATCAGAACAGAGTTGCGGGCAACAGCTAGTTATAAAGTATAAATAATTTATTAAGTTTGCTGTCAATAGCTTACATGCTGAGAATGTTACCAGATTAAAATTTTATAACATTTCGAATATATCGAAGGAAAACTTAACGTAATAATTGACCCTCTATTGGGGGTTTACTCTAATATTAATATTAAGTTTTCTTAGAGTTTTTTTAGCTAGTATTTATATAAAACTAAAATGTACACTTCTTAATGATTATTATTTTTTATTATACAATATAAATTGACGTCACAATAGATAACAACTTAACATCTTCATACACTTATCTAAAAGGCTAAAAGATCGATGGCTTTGTATAAACACCACTGAATAAAATTGTATTTGTTGTTTTTTCAAGCACCATATAGATAAATGGTCTATTCGCATTGAAAACAGATGGTCTTGCTCTATCTGCGAAATATGCGTACGTCGCGGCTGATGCTACTGTACCAGTTTCGGTCACTTCAATCACAGCGTTATGTACTACAGCCGATATGAATACATTATTAGTTTCAGTTATATCTTTAAAGTTAGCTGCACCTGGATCGAAAATATCTTTAATACCCATTTTAAATAATGGCCTGTTCAGTATAAAGTTTGAACTGATTTTAAATCTCGGCACATTTATAACAACTGAAGTCATACCGTATAATTCTATATCACTTGCTAGTTTTTCAAATATATCATCCAGACTAATATCAGTTAAACGACTGTATACATTAGCTACAGTAGTACCTGGATCAGGTAAGATTACAAGGAAAGAGTATTTGCTTTCGTCTTCATCACCGTAAGGAAGTTCCAAAATGGATGCTTGGATTTCATCGAAACTAGAATAAGGGGGAGTATCTTCTAAATACATCATGTTCACGTCACCAACTTTGTTACCATTTTCATCGTAAAAGGGTGACACTTTTGTGTCTGAAACGTTGAATGGTGTCTTCCAATATGCTTTAAAAGATATAACATTTGTTAATATCATTTTTGAATCATCGAAATCGTTAGGTTTAAATACATTGGTTACTTTGAGGCCGGAATTTTTTATAACATTATTTGCCGTATCTGCTGCCGTGTTTGATTTGAAATTTAACCTGTTAATGATTGCACCGAAATTTCTCTGCACGCTTTTCGTGAATTCGCTTTTCATTAAAAAATTACTGTCGCCGAATAGAAAGTTTCTACTTTTTAATTCAACTTCAGGTGTACCAGTTTTTAAGACTGCGTTGGTTAGCTTTTTGTACCCATCGATCAAGACTTGTTGTTTCTTCGGCAGGATTAAAGCTTCCACCAGCTGTTTGCGACTTGTATCCGTTGCTCCTATTGACACCGATGTCAGTAATGTCCACACACCGAAAGGTGATATCACCGTGTGCCATTTCGTTTCTTCAGCGGTATGATATAATAATTCGATACTAAAGTTTCTTGCTCTTTCACTGAATTCAACTTTACAATAACATATTGATATTAAATTGAAAATGACTAATGGAATTCGCATTTTGTCGACCGTCTGACCGCGTTGTATAGACGGTACTGAATCACTCGCTTCAACGACTCTGTAATACAAATATCATTAGCTTTGCACACATGTTTATTGAATGTGATAAGAGACGAATTTATACGCCTTATTTAGATCAGAGTGCCTATCACGAATATTCAAGAGAACTATTTCTTCATCGACATTTGTATAAAAAATTGTGTAGTGTACTCATACAAATTTTGACACATTTTGTAGATGACGCTTGTTGTGTCGTAAACATTCGTGTTAGGCCCTCTGTGATCATACCTCGTACAATGAAAATAGTATTGTGTAATAAACAGCCGAAGGATAATGAGGTTTAACCGTGGGGTTTTCCTGTAATATTTCTTCGTATTGCTAATTATATAAATTGTTTCAGATTTAAAGCAGATACGTAAATCTATTTTTGTATAAATGTATTAGTAGTGTAGATCCAGGGTTAAAGTGATTCTTTGATTGAATTGATATCGTGTCCCAAAATTCAATGACCCGGTACCGGTCTTAGCCAGGTCAGGTTTTAAAGTTACTATAACTCTTTTAATTTTCTTGCATTTTGATAACATGATTAGACACTGTGGCTACAAATATAAACTTTTTTTTGTATCAGAACTATCTAAGTAACACTAATAGTGAAGTCCAAAATAGGCCCTTAACATTAGTACTTTAAGTGCAAAAAAGTAACTACTTTGTCTGTTTTCTTGACTTTGACATGTTACCGTGTAAAAATGTATGAAGTGTGCCACGGCATGTAATTATCGTTGAATTTTGGGACACGCTGTATGTGTTTATAAATATCGTATCGAATAAAGATCATATTGAACATGATATATCGTAGAACATAACGAATATCTATTTTTTTTTAATTTAAGTCCGTCTGCATGTTTAAAAATCTGCATTTGTTCTGTGTAATCTCCGATATGACTTTACCGATTTTGTCAAGACTTTCAGTGAAAGGCAGCTTAGCACTAGTAACTTTTTTCTTTTACAATTATTCTATTATAACACAGTCCTAGATCCAACCATTTTAGATTAACCCCTATTAATTTAAGTAAATGCAACATATTTAGAGGGAGAATAATTTTTATAGGTCTACCGAAATTACTAAAGATTAAAATCCTCTTAAGTTTACCTATTATATTTTGCACTAGGTGCTGATCGCAACTTGGTAAGTGTGGATAAAAAATATGCCTATGTTACTCCACAAGTTACCTTCGATGAAAAGTCTCGAATGATACAGGCCTGAGACTAATCTGGTCCATTTGTCTGTCGGTCAAACGAGACCAACGCAGTCTTGACAGACTGTCGGACAGGCGGACAGATGGACACAATTTTTTTCGTTATCAATAACGCAAATACATCGTGTACAAGAAATTTGAAAATTCCATTTTGTTTTTACATACATACATTCCTAATTTTATATATCTGTATAGATTCAACTTTTGACCTAACAATTTATCAAACAGAATTTAACCTTCCACTCTGGTTGTCTTATCTTTGGTTTTCCCTGAAATATGCGTTTATTGCGGTTGATAAGTGTCATTATTTTGTTATAGTAACGTTTTAAACTAAGTTAGATATAAAATAAAAGTTGAAGGTTTATTAAACTTGTTACTTTGTCAAAGGCACATTTATCTGAAATCATAAAAAAAAATCTTGGTAATTTTTTTTTCTTAAAATTAGTTCACTGGTTTAATATTGTGTGATATTAACGTACTAAAATTGATTTTCTGTTTATATTTACCGTTATGTTGGATGTGTTTTAATCTAACAGTTTTTGAAATGAATGTAAATTATTGTTAATAATATATCGAGAAGTAAATACAAGAATAAGACAACTTTATATGACGTATACTAACATATTGATAAATCTAACATTAAATTTATTTTAAAATTAAACTAATAAATTATCCGTTAAATTGAACAATATATCTGAGTAACAAATACATTTTACAGTGCATTGGTTACGATTAGTTAATATTAACCATGTTTATATGTAGGGTTGTCAAACGCAAGCTCGGAGACTTCGAAATTCAAATAGGTGGTAACCCTGACCTTGACTTTGAGGATGTGTAAGACATTTTCCCAGACAAGTTAGTTATAAAACAAAGTAAGTAAAATAGTTATATTACCCGCATCTTGTCGGTCACGGTCTCTGATTTCGTATGATCTCATCACGTTGTTTGCTTTGATGTGAGAAATTTTCGTATTCAAACATACATGTCAACTATGTGATGTTTACAATTTTTTGGTATATTAGTTTATTAGTATTTTCTATGCAATACATTTTATAAAAAAATTCTTGCTAATATTATAAATGCGGATGGATCGATAGATGTTTGTTTGAAGAACGGATCTCGATTAAATTTGGTATACATACAGAAAATAGTCTGGAAGAACACATTATGTTTTTTTTTAAATTCCGCACGGATGGAATATCGGGCGACTACTAGTATTATATAAAATGTACATCACCGGCCACGGAAAGCAATGCCTTAAACAACCAGGTCAGTTAGGAGACAGGAACCTCCTCACAATACTTGCGGTTTCCAAAATAATTCCCTTTTTATAAGACCCTTAATCCAACTGTTTAGCGAGAGCTTCTTAAGGTGTTGGTCGAAGGTCTTCGATAGTGGCCCTTTCGTACGACTACTCTATTTTCTTATATTTTTACTATTTAAATATATAAAAGTGACGCTCGTACTTCAGTATGTCTATTCCCTTTTCCATAAATAGGCACTATCGTTCCATATATTTCTTTGTCTGTAGTATTATAAATGTTTCGTCTTAACTAATATTCATTTTTTGTAGCTGTTGGTTAGTATTTTTACACTTTAATTAAAAACATTTTTGTTAATAACTGCACATTTGTTTTAGAATCAATAAAAGCTTTTAAAGTTGTTAAGTTCAAAACCTGCAAGAATTAAACTCGTTCCATGTGTTTTTTTGTCGTTTTATTTTTGTTTGTTTCCGGTTTTGTGAGAACCGCGTTTGTGTTTGTTTTTAGTTTTTATATTTCAATACCTTTGGACAATTTTGTATTTAATTTATTAATTAAAATTATTTGTAATAAATAGTTAAAGAAAATAAGGAAAGGGATTGAAACTTACTAATTTTAATCTAGAAGAATGGATGGTACCATATCAATAGGTTATTGTTGGTAAGCGATTAATATTTTGTCATAATTTACGTGTCTGACAATTTGTTAAGAAAATATTACCTCACATTTTATTAAATAAAAATACTTACGTTGATGTATTGATTAAAAACACACAACAAATCAAAAAAATATTTATTAATAATCACACTAAAGATGGTTTAGCATAAACACCAGCAAACACAATGACACCAGATTGTCTCTCTCTAATTAAAAACACAAATTCTTTGTTCGCTTCGAATCTCTGCGAGAGAATTCTATCTTCTAAGCCAACTACAGTTGATGATGCTGCCACAGTCCCCTCCTCTGTCACTTCAATGTTCACATTCTGTACGGTCTTAGATACGTAAAGTGGACTGTCAGATATACCAGGCATCTGTGCTTTAGTACTATCAAAAACATTACGTATACCCATATACATTAATGGTGGTATCATATCGGATTGCGAAGTGATTTTAAATCTTGGTATATAACAATCCAATTCTGGTAATGTTTCAGAGTTAAGGATGTCATTCATCCATGTAAGAGGTTGTCTTGATAGATTTTCTAACAACATTTGCAGTGGCATACCATCGAAAGGTAGGAGTATTAACATGGATAGTTGCTCGTCCTTACCATATGGCATTTCAAGTATTTGAGCTCCAATTAAAGGTGAATCTCCAATATTGTGAGGTGCTTTATGATACATCATGTTAACAGATCCAATCATTTTACCTTGATGGTTATAAAATGCTTCTTCTCTTGTTTGCGTCGAATCAAATGGATACGTCCAATTCGCCTTGAAATACAATCCATCGACTAGAATCATTCTCAAATTTTCTAAAACACTAGGATTAACCGCTTCTTGTATTCTTCCACGAGTCACTTTGCAAATAAAATTATTTATATCATCAGCTAGTAATGTTTCATTACTAGTATCAACAACAAAAACTTGTGTGTCGAAATTCTTAGCGTACTGACAGAATTCCTGATGTATATTTAAATTGTAATCAGCAAATAATCCTGATACTCCATCTAGGATTACGTCTTGGTCTTTACGCAGCAGCAGATTAGAAACCGCTAAATGAAGAGCCGTGGTTGCTCTCACATCATTCGGTAGTCGTAGTTCTTTCATAAGCTGATTGAAAGTCTCACCGGAGCATCCTTCCGTTAGTAAAGTGAACATGCTCCAAATTGATAGTGGTGATATGACTACGTTCTTCTCTCCATAACTCTCTTGGAACGCGTATGTATTATAAAGAAGTTGCAAGGAGAATGTGTTCAAAGATGTATAATCCAGGTCTTTTCTTGGTGCTGCTAATGCGAAGCTAACTAAGGTGATTACTTTCCACATCGCGCGACTAGATAGGGCCGAGTCGTATACAATACTGTTACGGTGAGGCGCTATTCTATCAATTTCAATGAAGACCTTCTCACGAATGTACAATGTACGAGTATTTTTGAAGCGACGAAGCGCGTGGTATTGCCGCTACTAGCCCACCTCGCGTATGGGACGAGTTTATATCGATGTTTTTAACATCGTTAATGTCATTTATATGGGTGTTTTTATATTGTAAGATTAATTGATTTTACACAGCCTAAAATTAAGGTTATTATGTCATTATTTTTAGTAGAATCTATTGGAATTCTTTGTACCCAATTTAACCGCTTGAATCGCTTAATGGTCTTTTCCAAATTGTCACGGTTGCTCTGTTGCGAAATATGAATTTTGATTCAAGTTTTTGTTTTTATACTAATATTATTTTGCAATTCATAACATGTCTTTTAAATTTTATACGATAAATTATAATAGATTTAAATTTAAATCATTTATTTTTGGCTAACGTTAAAAATATATATGTTTTGGAAATGCATGTCAAAATCGCATTATTACGTTTATAAAGTTGTTTTCTGATCAGTATTCAATATAAAAACCTTGCATTTATATCTCAAATAAAATCAATAATGAATTACATATCGTCATCCTTGTCATTACTTTTGACAAAATAGAGATACCAATATATTTTAAATGGGGATTTTAGTCTCAGAAACCCACGGTTATGAAATAAAAGTTGCATTTTTTAAAAGCTAAATATTTTTGTGTTAATCTTAAATTATAGTTCCTGGTATAGATTATCTGTTTTCAACAGTGGAGACCTAGCTTTATAATTATGCATACATTACGGCCCGTCAAAAAATTACCCACATGATATGTCGTGTCAAGAGCAGTTTCTTGATAACAGTGTTCATTGAACCCTCGCTCTCTTCTATGTAACTGTTTACTAGTGAACTATTATTTTTTGTCCGACTAGCAGGAGGGTAATTCTTATATATTCTACTAGGTGCCGCCCGTGACACTGTCCGCAGGAAATTAAAAACAAACGTAATAGCCTACGTGTTCTTCCAGACTATGTTCTACATCTGTGCCAAATTACCTCAAGATCTATTGAGCCGTTCTGGAAACACCTTTTAACAAACATCTGTCCATCCATCCAGCCATCGAAACATTCACATTTATAATATTAGTGTGATTGTTTTTCAGTTACTGTGGGTTTTCACTGTCTTGATTCTTCAATTGTCGCACATTGTCATCCCTCAAATTGTCGTGTCAGTGCAGTGAAAATCGACGATTATATTGTGACCAACTCTAGCCTTAAAACCTTTACCGATTTTTTATTTTCTAACTAAACTTCTTAATTTTTTGCAAAGTTTTCTCTTGTATGTTTATTCCGTATCTTACTATTTTTTTTAATAAAGTCATGATACTAATGGCTGTCTTGTAAATAAAACTATCTGATGAATAAACGAATAAAACTTTAGTGTTAGGTTGGATCTTACTTCCGGTGTATTCAAATGCCGTGTAAGAAAACAATGAGACGCGAACAAAGCCTACTAGGGTTGTCAATTATATTGTTAATTAGAAATGTTTCTTTATACAATAGCAATTTTACCTAAATGATAAAATAGTTTAAAGCAAGATTAGTTTAGATTAGTTTAGTTAACGTTATTTTTTCACTAGATATTCATTTATAAATTTAAAGAAAAAAGATAAAGCCACGAACCTTTCAGATGAACCTTTGAAGAATGGAGATGAACTTGGAAATTTTTTGTAGATAGTTCTCTTTATACGTTTCAAATTAATTGTTTTCAAAATTCGGAGTACGTGACAACCCTATCGACCTCAATCACAAGACAATGTGGTTCACGATATCCGATGTTGCCTAATACGAGTTAACCAAGATATTTAACAATAATACACATAGTTTGTTAAAACTGGAATAACGCACAAGCTCTCACGACCAAAACATCAAATCCTACAATCGAAAAAATGTGACATCGTCTGCGCTTGATTAAAAAAAAATCCGTATTAGTACCCTATGTGTTCTTCCAGACTATGTTCTATATCTACGTCAAATTTCAGTCAGACAGCGAGCAGTTTTGGAAACATCTTCTAACAATCATCCATCCATGTAAACTTTTGCTTTTATGTACAGCTGTTGCCCGCGACTCTGTCCGCGCGTAAAAATATCTTAATTAGTATTTTCTACGTCTATATTAAATTTCAGTCAGACAGCAAGCCGCTTTGGAGAAACCTTCAAACAAACATCCATCCATCTAAACTTTCGAATATATAGTATTAGTACGATGTATAATTAGAATCAATTATTAAACATCCAATTTCTCCTAATGCAATTACTTTATTTATAACATATGAGTATTTTTCCGTTACGTGGTTAATTGAAATATATTAAAATATCACGAACACAATAAGGATGCGAATTTGAGATAAAGATAATAGTATTTATGTTTACAACGTGATGATAAGTTTTTAACATTAAAATATATAACAATATAAAGTCACGATTCGAATTTAACAAGGCATTTATAGTACCTATGAACAAGAGTAGTTAATTAAAAAAATGCGAACAAGGCAATCTTAATTTAGGAATCTAATAAAAAGGAAATGACTGAAAAATGAAGAGGATATAACAGGGGAGAGAACGGATAATGAAGACTGTAATAAGACATATTTTCTTGTGTTTAAAGTCCCCTGTCTATTAATGTTCATCATCATCAGCTCACTATACGTCCCCGCCGAGGGGCTCGGAGGCTACAATCAGTTTAGGGTGATTAGGCCATAGTCAACCACGCTGGCCAAGTGCGGGTTGACTTCTATTCTCCTTGTATGACTTCTACTATATCTTTGAATTTCTCAGATATGTGCAGGTTGCATCACGATGTTTTCCTTCAACGTAAGAAGAAGAACGTCGAATAAATGTACATAAGTATGTAAATCGGAAATCATCGGAAGGCATCTTTAACTTAAAACCCATTTGGAAATGCCAATATCTAGCAGAGATGGCAACAAAGACTAATACTCTGATTTGTTTTTTTTGATCAAATCAATCGCACTATACGTGGCCACCATTTCAGAACCTTTAGGCAAATATTTATTAACAATCCAATTATGCGTGAAATCAACCTAGCAACAGAATTCCATAACTATAGGTTCTAGATTGTTGCTATTTGTTATATTTTTTGCAATATTATCGCAAATATTCCTTTAGTATGCGGGCTTGGATCGGATTCTGTGCATTGCCCGCGTCACGACGGCCCCGCGTGGCCAAGTTCAATGACCTCATAGCTTGTCAATTAATGTCGCTTAAGGCCAATTATAATTGTTACCTACATATGTAATTAACCCCTTCATCTAGTCTAGATATTATAGTAGTAATAGCAACCGCATAGGCTTCGCTAAGACACTTAAAAGGATAGATAAAAATAAACTTTACTTTGGCACTTCGAGAAAGACGAATTTAACAGTTCAGATTTAAAAGACAATCTAGATACCTCGGCTGTAGGAGGTATACAGAAGATATTACCAGAACAATTCAATGATATCTTACAATATGACCAGTCAGATTTTAAACTGACGAAGTTTATAATAACAAAAGCAAAATTAGTGTAACATGTCATCTTTTGTACATGTCGTAAAGCTCTTTTGTTAATTTACGTCATAATAATCTTCTGTTTTGCGAAGTTTTCGAAAGGTGTCACTGTTAATAATTTAAACCAATTGTTAATCCTTAATTTAATTTGTCTGGATATCTTATAGTAGGATTGTGATGTTGTTTTCTTGTTAATCTGGAATCAATTTGGCTTTATTGGTTTCAAATTAAAAAGCTATCAACCTCCATCCATATCCTCATTTTCACCAAGTTTCAGTGACTCTATAAAGTAATATATTTTTATCCTGTTATTGTAGAATAATAATATTAATTAGTTGTTATTATATTGTTTACTTATTACGTTATCGTCGCATTGACTAACATGGCGGTTAATTAACTGTGCGCTGCGGTCATGTTATGACGTAATTACAAGCGGGCGTGAAACATACGGCATCAAAGTTTGACGAACTTTATTCTTGCTTGTCAGATCTTATAACCAATTGTTTAACGTCCATGATGGTCACGGGTCACGGAGCATCCGTTAATTATTTGTATCGTAGGTGTTGCTGGCACTCTTCGGTGAGCTGGCTGGAGTGATCCATTTCACGCAAATTATGTACGCGCTACACTCGTATCCAAAAGAATTTACATGGGTAGAGTTTAGGGCTTTTGTAAAAATTAAAATATTTCGCTAAATAGGCTTAACAGAGTTAGATGAGACCATTATAATTCACAGACTTGTGGCATCCCTTTTTGTCCACCGGTCGGTTGTGTTGAGCGGTTGCCTATCAATGCTCTACCCCAATGTCGGTGCTGCAGAAGGCCCAGGTCATATAGTCTTACCCATTTCCTAGTTATACAAGAATAGAAAGCAGTTGAGAGGTTTTGAAGAAACATTAAACTCTTGTATTGTTACCTTCTTTCATTATGATTAAAATAATTAAACATCAAAGTCAAATACTTGCCAGTATAAGTGAAAAGAAACATAAGGAAAATCACACTTTGATTGGGTTGTTGCAAGAAATGCTGTTGGCTATCGTACTTGTTCGTTGTGTTTTCTCTCCGTGAGTTTTGATCGACCGTGTACTATACTTGGTACAATGCTCGGCCGGCATGTACTTCACTGTATCATAATTTATGCCTGCGGACTCCCTTTGGAATACCAGCTACATTTTATACGTCTAGGTGTAGTGAAGTTGTAATAGAGTGGTGTTATCGATTATATAATATTGTTAAATACTATTACTACTACTACTAGAATTGATTTTTATTGGCCAACTAGTTGTCGCCAGCGACTCTGTCCGCGCTGTAATAAAGTAAACTTATTTAGTAGCCTATGTATTTTAGATTATGTTCTACATCTATGCCAAATTTCAGCGAGATCCATACAGCCGTTTTTGAGATATCTTCAAACATCCATCAGTCCAAACATTACAAAAGCTTGTTATAATTTTAGTTTTGGAAAAAGGGTGGTTAACACAGATTCGTAGTAATAATGATCACACCTATTTATTAAAATCCGCAATAAACAGACACACGAGTCTCAAGACTTTGTCTGTATATACTGTAAGAATATAAAA